TTTAACTTCTTCTTTTCCTATCTTTACCCCTTTTATTTCTCTTTCTTGCCTAATTGCTCTGGCTAGTACTTCCAGTACTATATTAAATAGGAGTGGTGATAAAGGACATCCTTGTCTTGTACCCGATTTTAAAGTAAAGGCTTTCAATTTTTGGCCATTTAGTATGATGCTGGCTGTTGGTTTGTCATAAATGGCCTTTATTATATTGAGGTAAAGACCATTTATTCCAATTTTCTGTAAAGTTCTTATCATGAATAAGTGTTGGACCTTATCGAAGGCTTTTTCTGCATCTATAGAGATGATCATGTGATTCTTATTTTTGGCTTTATTGATATGGTGGATTACATTTATTGATTTGCGTATGTTGAACCATCCTTGCATTCCTGGGATGAATCCCACTTGGTCATGGTGTATAATCTTCTTGATGATTTGCTGGATCCTATTTGCCAATATTGAGGATTTTTGCATCTGTGTTCATTAGGGAGATCGGTCTATAGTTCTCTTTTATAGTTGGGTCTTTCTCAGGTTTTGGTACTAGAGTAATATTTGCTTCCAGGAATGACTTAGGAAGGATTGCTTCCCTTTCAATTTCATTGAATAGTTTGAGGAGTGTCGGCATTAGGTCTTCTTTATATTTCTTGTAGAATTCTGCAGTGAATCCATCTGGGCCTGGGCTCTTCTTGGTGGGCAAGGACCCAATTACATTTTCAATTTCATTAGCAGAGATTGGGTTATTCAACAGTTTTATATCCTCTTGATCTAGCTTTGGTACTTCATATGCTTCTAAGAATCTGTCTATTTCTTCTGTGTTATCAAACTTTTGACAGTAGAGGTTTTCGAAATAGGTGTTGATGATCCTCTGTATTTCTATTGGGTCTGTAGTGATTTCTCCTTTTTCATTTCTTATTGCATGAATTTGAGCTTTTTCTTTCCTTTTTAAAATAAGGTTGGCTAGGGGCTTATCGATTTTATTTATTCTTTCAAAGAACCAACTCTTTGATTCGTTGATTCTTTGGATTGTTTTCTTAGTCTCTATTGCATTGATTTCTGCTCTGATTTTTATAATTTCCTCTCTTCTTTTGGCTTTGGGCTTGACTTGCTCTTCTTTTTCTAGCTGTTTGAGGTGTAGCATCAAGTTATTTATTTGTATTCGTTCTGTTTTCCTGATGTGGGAACTCAGTGCAATAAATTTTCCTCTCAGAACGGCTTTCATTGCATCCCACAGATTCCGGTAAGTTGTATCTGCATTTTCATTTTCTTTTAGGTATTGTTTAATTTCTTCTTTAATTTCTTCTGTGACCCACTGATTACTCAAGAGTGTGTTATTTAGTTTCCATGTGTTTGCGGAATTTTTGCAGTATCCTTTGTCATTAATTTCTAATTTCAGAGCGCTATGATCCGATAATATGCAAGGGATGATTTCAACTCTTTTGCATTTGCTTAAATATGTTCTGTGAGCTAATATATGGTCTATTTTAGAAAATGATCCATGTACTGCTGAGAAGAATGTGTATTCTGATGTTGTTGGGTGGAACATTCTGTATATGTCTATCAAACCCATTTGTTCACAGGTGTGATTCAGTTCTGTTATTTCTTTGCTCATTTTCTGTTTGGTTGATCTGTCCCTTGTTGCCAGTGGTGTATTAAGGTCTCCTGTTACAATTGTGTTACTGATAATTTGAGTTTTCATTTCTGTTAATAATTGTTTTATATAACTGGGTGCTCTGGAGTTTGGTGCGTATATATTTAAGATAGTTATCTCTTCCTCTTGGAGTTTTCCCCTTACGAGTATGTAGTGACCTTCTTTGTCCTTTATGGTCATTGTTGGTTTAAAGTTCACGTTGTCTGCAAACAGAATGGCTACTCCTGCCTTTTTTGGATTCCTGCTGCATGAAGAATTGTTTTCCATCCTTTGACTTTCAGTCTGTGAGTATCTTTCTGGGTTAGATGGGTTTCCTGTAAACAGCATATGGTTGGATTTTGTTTCTTGATCCATTCTGCTAGTCTGTTTCTTTTGATTGGTGCATTGAGACCATTTACATTAATGGTTATTACTGTTAAATGCTGGTTAATTGTAGGAATGTTATCTCTCTGCTGTTGCATCTTTATCTTTCTGTTCTGTTTAATTATTTGCTTTGCTTAGTGCTTTTTTCCTTTGTGTATCTAAACTGTCTTTCAATATTTTTTGCAGGGTTGGTTTGGTGTTCATGAAGTTCTTCAGCTGTTCTTTGTCATGGAAGTATCGTATTGCACCATCTATTTTGAATGATAGTTTTGCAGGATATATCAGTCTTGGTTGGAAATCATTTTGCTTTAGGATCTGGAATACTTCACTCCATGCTCTTCTTGACTTTATCGTTTGTGCTGAGAAGTCTGCTGTGATTCTAATAGGTTTTCCTTTATAAGTGATCTGTCTTTTCTCTCTGACAGCTTTTAATAATCTATTCTTGTGTTGGATTTCTGGGATGGTGATTATTATATGTCTGGGTGTAGTTTTATTTTGGTTATGACTGTTTGGAGTTCTATATGCTTCACTGATCCTGATGTCAGTTTCTGATCTCATGCTTGGGAAATTTTCAGCTATTACTTCTCTAAATATCCTCCTGACATCCTTCATGTTGTCTCCCTCTCTTTCATTAATCCCTATCATTCTTATGTTATTCTTCTTTGCATCGTCTTGCAGTTGTTGAATTGTTGTTTCCTGATTCTTTGTTATTTTCAAAAGATCTTTCCTTTCCTGTTCACTAGCTGCAATCCTGTCTTCAAGGTCTGAAATTCTATCTTCACTTTCATTAAGGCGGTTTTTACAACTTTCAGTGGAGTTTTTTATTTCCTGTATATCTCTGTGCATCTGCATTATGTATTCTGTTTGTTTCTTATATTGCTCGTCTAGGGATTCTATCTTTTTGTTTAGTTCCTCCAATTTTTTATCTGTGTTTTCTTTAGATATATTTAGAATCTCTTTCATTTCTTTTATCATTTCTTCTTTTATCTGGGAGATTATTTCGAGTTTGAATTTCTTTAAAGCTTCCTGGAGTTGCTTGTCAATTTCAGTGGCTATTGTGTCCAATATATGAGGTGGATGGGATATATTTTCGTCTATATACATCACTCCTAGGGTTTCTTGAGATGGGCTGGAGGTTTGAGGTTGTAATTTGGTCTTTCGTTTTGTCATTTTCCTATATTTCTGTGTTTCAAGTGTTATTTGAAAGCTTCCTCAGGACCTGTTGAAAATCCCCTTCTATGTTTGGAGCTACTGAGACTCTGGCGCCATGCTACCCCAAGCCATTGGGCCTACAGAACCAGTGGCCCTCCTCTACCTGCTCAGAACTCCGCAGTTCCAGACAAGCTGGGCCTCAGGGACACGGTGCGCCCACCTGCCCCTTGGAAGCTCCACAGTTCTTCAATCGCAGCCGGGTTAGGGTACTCACCACAGGCCGCAGTGCTTCAGGAACCTGTGGACCCTCCCTGGTTGCAGAGATATCCACAGTCCTCCAGACACATGGAGAGGCCGATGCAGGCACCCCAAATCTGCCCAGCTCCTCCTCTGCAGACCAATGGCCAGGTGCGGCAGCTAAACAGGCTGGGCTAGGCTGGTAGTGTGGGCCAGCCCACCTATCGGGAGCTCAGCAGGTCTCCAAGTGAAGCCGGGAATGGGGAGGCTGATGTGGAAGCCTCAAACCCACCTCTCTCCTTCACTGCACCTGGAAGCCTGGGGGAACTCCAGCAGTCTGGGCGCAGATATCCAGAGTCCTCCAGACACGCAGAGAGGCCGGTGAGGGCACCCCAGATCTGCCCAGCTCCTCCCCTGCAGACCTATGGCCAGGCGCGGCAGCTAAACAGGCTGGGCTAGGCTGGTAGTGTGGGGAAATATCTCACTCTTAACCCTCATATCATATGCCCAATCTAAGGCCATTTTGAAAGACACATTATCAGAAATCCAGAGTATGAACAAGAAAATATAAAGGGTAGCTAAAGAACTTCCCCAGCACATGTGTGTAAATGCATACACACATATATCTTTGAGAACAAGACTTTACGTATATGTTACACAACATAATTTTGGGAACAGTTTATCATTAAATGCATCATTCTTACTAATACATACCTACTACATTCTTTTTGTAACTGGAAATAATATCATGTTATCTGTATGCTGCAATTTATTGAACCTTTTATTTGGGACTGGGACTTTAGTGCATATTTACTTTCTCAATACTACAAAAAAGATATGTAGACATTTTTTTGACTATTTATTGTGTCCTGATGCAAAGTGGTACTATGTTAGGCACAAGCTTTTTGCTAAGCACAAAGGACCTCATTCTAGGCTTTTTGAAGCATAGAGAATAGAGCAGACACAGATATTGCCTTTCAAATACACAGAGAAGTAATAATACTACTGAATAAAGGCACGTATTACTGTGGAAGCATTTATTAGCACACTTTATCTTGTAAGGAGCTAGGAAGGCTTTGAAGAAATATACTCTTCAACTGGGGCCTGAGGGAGCTATGAGCATTGCTTTTAGTGCTCAAAAGTCTGGAATCCAACAATGCCCCTGACTGAGATGACAGAGCATATACAAGAAAGAATTGTGGAACAATTTTTTTCCAAAGAAAATTATAATCCAAGGAACTGATTTATTACATTCTATACAACTGTGAAAAGAGCTGAAAACATCATGCATTTGCATTCATGGTCATCACTGTTTTCTGGCCTGAAAACAGAAAGTTAACAAGCATGCCTCCCCTCTTTCCCTTCCCTGCCTGGCTCAGATCCTGGAATGACCCCCTTTGCTTGTCTTCTGGTCTCTAGTGTGGCTGCTTTCTGTTCCATTGTAACACATAGACCTGCCCATAAACGTGGCAGGAAGGGCGATCTGATCATAGACCTTCTTAGGAGTGGGAAGTATCTTTTGATCAGACTTGAGAACCTCAATAATAAACCCAAATAAAAGTGCTATGTTATGACAATTCTAAATAATGTTAATAACAAAAATGTCTCCAAGAAAAAGATGTTTTATTAGTCTAAATTATAAAGAATGATTTTTGTGTATTAGTTTGCTAGGACTTCTACACCAAAGTACCAGAGACTGGGTAGTTTCAACAAAAAAAACTCATTGTCTTACAGTTCGGAAAGATAAAAGTCCCAAAACATGAAGCCAATTGCACCGATTTCTTCTGAGATCTCTTTCCATGTGTCATGGTTGGTTGTGTCAACCTGAGTAACAGAAGTATAACTAAGTCAGTTCAGCAATCCCACACCCTAGGTGTGGAAGACCCGCCATAGGGTGGCTTGTCACCTGGGTGGTATCAAGGGGAAATGAAGAAACATGGACCTGCTTCTGTTTCTCTGGAAGAGCTGTAGTCTTTGCCCTCACCTGAGCCGCTATCTCCTGGCTTCAGTGCTGACCCTTTGGCTCTCGGAGTCCATCTGCCAGACTTCAGCGCAGATTCTTCAGTCTTCCACTGCAGACCCATAGGCCTCTTGATAGAGACTCTCCAGGGACACTGCACTGAGCTCCAGAGCTTTGACTGAGTCCTTCTTTCTCCACTGTGCACAATCTCTGCATGCTTCTTCATCCAGCTCTGTGGGCAGCCATTGTAAGCCACCTTGTAATTTCTTCTACATTTGTATATCTTATGTTATATCTGCTTCTCTGGTAAATACTGACTGATACATGGCTTGTTGTAGACTTTTTTTTGCATCTTTACACTTTCTTGTGTCTGTCTAGTGTCCTCTTTTCATCGGAACATCATCATATTGGATTAGGCTTCATTCTAAGGAGCCAGTTTTAACTCAATTCTTTAATAATCCAATTATAGATAGTCTCATTCTAAGGTACTAGAGGTTAGAACTTCAACATATGAAAACGGGTGGAGCACAATTTGGCCTATCAATGTGTTTACTGTTAATTTTTAATATTGTATACAGGAAGCTTGAATTAGATAGTATGTATGTATATACGTATGTATTTGAAATAGGGTCTCGCTATGTAGTTCAGGCTGGCTTTGAACTCGCTATTAACCCAGGTTGGCCTCGAACTCATGGTGATCCTTCTACCTCAGCCTCCTGGGTGCTGGGATTACAGGTATGTGCTACCATGCCTGGAAGCATGAATTTATTAATATTTTATAAGCATTATATTCTAACAGAAATTAATGCAAGAATCCCATACATTCAGGGTTCATTTCTCTAATACTACTGTTTTTCTGAATTTAAAGAGCGCATCTATGAAAGTACAATGATTATGAAACAAACAAGTCACAGAATTTAAGTTATTTAAATACTAGAATTTTGGAAAATGCTTAAACAGAAAGTTAATAATCTGTATTTAAAACTATTTGACTAACGACATTTAAAAGCTACTAGAATAAAAGCCAAAAGACATGAGTAATATTATAATATCTGCAAATGTATGTTATTTCAAATTATGTGAAATAAAGTTTCTGACACTAAAATTTAATTAAATGTATTCTCTGATTAAGTATGTGCAAAAATACATTGACACATTTGCCTATTCTGTCTATTGAACATGGACATGTGAAAAAAAGATCAATTTTGACAGTTGTCAAGATGTTTGCACCACTGAAAGCTTGAGAACAACTGTAACAATATTATTCATTCTTACAAGACAACTAAGAATATTTTTCATTTTTCAAAAGGTGCTAATGTTCTAAAACTCAAATCATTCCTTCTGCATACTATAGTATTTATTTTATTTTTAAATTATATTTTTATTTCTATAGCTTTTAACTTTTAATTTATTTCAAAATTATTTTTTCCTATAGGGGTAGACAATCGATGTTTTAAATGATCCTATTTGTATATAACTTGCTTTATCTATATTTCTACTTAACATTGTTGGCTATGTCTAGCAATTAAATTTATTTTCTTAACAGAATATTAAAATCAAAATCCTAAACCTTAATGGTGGCCAACAATATAAGGCAGAATAGTACTGCTTTATTGGGAGAAAATATTTATAACCATTCTGTGGAATAAAAAAATAAAAGATCATCTCATTCATGTTTAGTAATCAAATAATTATTCTAGTGAGTAACTGCAAATGCTGGTTTAGGTGGGGAAATAAAAGAATATTTTTTCCCCTAGGCCCTTTGGATCCTGTGAGTAGATCAACTATGAACAATGAGGAAAAGTGGGGGCACCAGAGGACCATTTAATGCAGCGGCCTGCTGCAGATGGGGTTTCTAGTCACAGGCTGGGATTCGATCACCTTCTTACTCTTTGAGATCATTCTCCTTCTGAATTTGCTTCCCCACACCTATAGGACGAAGTAATATTGTTATCTCATAGTCCTAATGTGCCCGGAACCTGGAAACCACCCAATAACTATTAGTTAAAATAAACAAGACACACAAATTAAATATTGGACAACTTGATTAAAAATTTGATGCAGCAACCTAGAATATGGTACCAGGTGATGTTTAATATCCTAAAAGAAGGCATAAGTGTTACATGAGTTCATGAAACATTTGTAACTGAGAGATTTTGACAATTTTAGGACCAATCTTAGCATCAGAGCACAAACCTAAGGTGGATGACCATAGGGCCTAGAATCAACAAAAGAAAATCAAGAAACAATGAATTAACTTTCTATCAGTTTTTAGCCTAATTGGAACATTTCAACATTAGATGAAAGATGCCAGATAGAAAAGATTGTGTGCTGTGTGATTCTTTTATCTAAAGGGCACAAAGGAGAAATTAAGCCATGGTGTCACATGTCGGCATTTATCTCTGTTTATCTCTGTGGGAAGCACAGAGACCTGGAAGAAGAAGAAATGACACTCCTGGACTCCTGATGCTGTTTCTCCAAGTGGGTGCTTGTTGCCAGGATGTCTTTAGTCTCCTAAAGTTTACCGAAAGGTATTCTTATTTGCACACATTTTTATAAAAGGAATATTTTTCAATAAAAAGCTCAAAACATATAAATTTTCATTTTGAAAATTTTGAAAAGATAGAGGTTCAGGGGAAAATTTTAAAAAGGCACCTGTAATCCTTGAACATAGAAAAACTGCTAGAAGCATTTTAGAGTGAACCTTTCACACAAAATTAAAATCACTTATTTTTCACCAAGCAAACATAGCATAACCATTTTCCTATGGTTAGAAATTGTTCTAAGGCACTATTTGTTCATATACCATAATTTTCTTGGTTACTCTCTTGCATTTTCTTAACAACAACATTTCGATTTCTAATATATAGATATGGTGACAATAACCTCTGTACACCTCTTACTTTTGGACCAAGATAAATGTTTATAAATAACAGAAGATTTGCTATACATATTTTCAATTTCCTTCCTCAAAATTTGAGTTCATTTCCTTCAAATCCTCAGTACTGAGGATACTTTTAAAATATGAATTCTTTTCCTTTAAATTTTTTGCCTTTTTTTAATTTCTGAGATAAAACCATGTTTTATATTATTAGCTATCACTGCTTCTTATTTTGGAATGTTTCTTCCCAGCCTTGCCAGATCCCTCTATTAGAGCATTCCAAGTCTCAGCTTTGCAGGATCCTGTTATCCAAACTCAATATTTCACTCAGACTAAAATCTAAACTCAGCTTGCTTTATGAATTTTGTTCCTTTTCGTCCACTTACTCTTTTGGCATCTGACCCTATTTATGTTTCTGTTTTGTGTCTTTAATCTCTGTTCTTGGTTGTAAGCTTATAATAACCAAACCTACTGTGGATAAGACAGTAGCTCTCGTGGTAAAAGACAGGATACTCTCCTTGTCTTCTACCAAATTTAAAGTGAGGGAACAAACCTAATTTCCATTGTCGTTTCCCAGGATTTATTACACGTACCTATGCTAAATTATATTAAAAATGCTTGACCCAAAAAGCTATGACATTGTAATTTTAAGAGACTGAGCTCTCTCTTGTTCATACAAAACATTTGACAAATAGATGAACTTTGTCATTTCTTTATCCTCTAAAATCCTGTAAAAAGAAAGGAGCCTACTCTCTATTTGTTCTGTTGCAACAGTGTCCATTAGAAAAAATAAAGCAAAGTATATTTTCAACCAAGCACAGATTGCCTGCGGTTTCCTCTTGCCAGGATGGGCTCTTCTAACACAGTTGCAAGAAGTCTGCCTACGATCTGTAATTCTGTCCTATCTCCATGAAAGATGACTTTCACATTCTACAGTGTGGGAGGACAGCCACTGATGAAGTCCATGCTGGGAAGGGCTCAGCCGTGCAGAGCCGTGGAGGAGGCAGCTGTCTTTCTCTTTTATTCCTGATTTTTAGTGTGCCCTGTGGCGAGCCTTAGTTCCTTCCCTCTGTTGGTCCTGAATGTTTACCTTTAGTCCATTTTACTTTTGCTTACTCCGTTGTTTTTCTCTGTTGTTATTTGTGGTTGGCTTGGAGAACAATGTTGCAGGAACACAGAGCTTTTGAGGGAAATGTAAATTGGAGGCGACACTGCACCCCGTCCTGTGTTTTCTCATCGGAAAGCACCATTTCAGAAAGCTGAACTGCCTGGCTACAGTGCTGGATGAAGACATGCTGAGTTCAGGAATATTCCCTGTTCCCAGGCCCTGCTTGTACAGAAGTGGGACTTTCTGAAGAGGGGGCATTCTGGAAGGGAGGGGAGGAGAAGGGCACTTTCAGAAGCAGATGCTCCTGGCTTTGGGAGGAAAGCTGCTCTCATTGCAGTTCAGCAGGCTTGCAGACAATCCCCAGCTTTGGAGAGAGACAAACAAAAACCAGTCTCTTAGTTTAGTGTATAAATGTAAGAGGCTTGTCTTAAGTGTGTGTGCAGGACTCTAGCAGGCTAAAAATGTTATGCAGAGTTAAAGTGAGGCATTGTTTAGGTTTTAATGAAGGCAACCAATTTTTAACAACAGAAGTTCTGTTGCTGACCCCCCCTTCTGCCCCCCACATTCATTTCCTCTGCCCCTGCACCTGCTTTCATTTTTGGCTTCTTGGCACTGATGTTCGCAGAGACATCAGCTGGCAGTGGCAAACTGCTAAAAGCTCCCCTGCAATGCAGCTCTGCAAATGCCAGCCATTTATCCACCGGTGCATGCCAGCTTAGCGTAAGGTCTCCCTTTCTCCCTCCAACCCCAATCCCCTTAGACCCCCAGTTTACTTCCAAGGGACAGTAAATGATCCAAATCCAGCAGTGGTCTGGCCCTTTGACTATCTATTAAGTGTGGCCGCATGTATTTGGTGCATCTCTTTGCTGTGATTATAATATTTTGATCCAAAGAGTGTTGCAGAAAATTTAGAGGACAATACTATTTCTTCTATTCAATAAAGAGCCCTTGGCCCACAGGCTCAGTTCTCTCTCCTCAGCAGATGGTGGGATAGTTTCTTGAGGTCTCTTTGACTTGAAACAGCCTTTTTGTTTCTGTTGCTTATTGAGAGCCAGTTGCCCCAAATTCTTTGAATAAAGACATCCACTTTTCAGTTTTAGCTAAGCCCTAAGAGATAAATAGTGACTTAGAGTTGGGGGCTGATGGACAAGCTGGAAAGGCAAAGGGCCTGTTGGAAGTTAAGTATTCAGCACAAGCCTTTGCAGTTTCAAACACGGTGGCTTTAAGTTCCCATTCACCACAGCAATTCAGCCTGTATACTGAGAAAGTGTGAGAAATCTGTGAGAAATTCGACATATATTTATTTTTCTTGGAAATTAGAGAATATCTTCACAGTGTACACTCTGAAGGGCTTTTGTTTTGTTTTGTTGTGTTTTTAATGATCTAAACCATCTGGGGAGTTGATAAAGAATGTGATTTTTCACAAGCTGAGCTAGCAAAGCCTATTGCTAAATCCCAAACCTTTATCCAGCCTACAGATAAAACCGGGGTGGGAGAGCTTTCCTTCCAGCTCGAAAAAATACTAAGATCCCACGTATGCCAAATGCTTTAGTATCTGGGTGGTAAGAAAAACAGAGAGCTGACACAGGGAGCCCGGCCCAAAGAGTCAGAAATGTGTGTTCTTATTTTTGTTGTTGTTTTTAGATTTGTAGAGGTCACAGATTTCCAGAAAATCTGTCTGGAAACTAAGTCAGCACCACGGTTTTTGGACTTTTGTTGACCCAGGAATGGGAACTAGCCCTTGCCATTACTTCTGCACCATGTACTTCTGCAATCCGGAGTATAAAAGCTATCTTACCTGGGAGAATATGTTCCCACACAGGAAGCACTGCGGGCGAGCCTCACGTGCCAGGGTCATCTTGCAGTAACCATGAGTTTTCTTCAGCATGTTCTTGCGGCTTATTTTCTCAGGATTTGCATTCGGCAGTTGGCCTAGTCTGGTGAATAACAAAGAGAAATCAGGAACTGCCATTTCCAGGAATTGGACCATAGTCTCCAGGTTTAACTATGCCATGGGCTTTGACTTGTCTTTCTCTTGATCTCAATTATTTCTTTTCCTTTTCTTTGCTGTAAGGCACAAAAGATCACACTGTAAAGTGTTCATAAACATTTCTAACAAGAAACCTGACAGTTTTTCCAAGGCTTGGTTATCAATTACTATTCTCTGTGAGGTTGGTATGTTAATCAACCAACCAATCAATCAATCAGTCACTTGTAATACCTTCACGTGCTACATGTATCTTATTCAAACTTATGAAAATTGTGTCAGAAAAGTCATTTTGATACTCCTATTTAAAATGATTTTAAAATTAGGAATTCAGTTAAATGTTCAAGGTATCACCTTTCTACTGGATGTGACCCCTACTTAGAAAACTGAAGAACAAGTCACACAGTAGTGTGAACTATGATAAGAAGCCCATCAGAAATGATCGTAGAGTAATAGAATTTAGATAATGGAGAAGATTTGTAATTATTCTTACATATACAGTTGTTTTCTTATTTCATAAACCCAGGAAGCTCATTAAACACAGTAGCTCTGATGTGTTCCCAATTATAAAAGAAGCAGAATAATATGACAATAGATCATGGGACATTAAAGTATAACCCTACATCTAAGACCAACTTCTCTCTTTCTGACACTTGGCTTCCTCAGCTTCAAAGTAGAAATGAAATTATGTTGACACTTGACAATTCAATTTGTTAAAAATAATCTTTATAAACTTTAGATCACTATATAAATGTTTATTATTATAGCTATTACTTGGATTACAATGCTTTGTATTCATACAGGTCTATATAGTTGTCAGCTATAGTAATTATTATTACATTAGAATTGCATTGGCCTTGCTTTCCCAAATATGTCCTCCCTCCTCTCTTCTTTAATTAAGAGAGTGGCACCATTCAAATAGTTGCAGGTGCCTTGTCACTTCCTTCTCCCTTATTTCCCACAGTCTACCCCAACTTCCACTGATATACAATTTCTTTAAGCCAAAGGAATTTAGAGTGATCTATAGTACACAAACAGTACACTTCTTGCCTAATAAAATTTCAAGTTCCCTTTGGATCCACTCCTAGAAAGGACCCAATTCCATGCCTTTGGATTAGTGTCTCTTTTGATTTCACTTCAGGAAACGAACATTAGTTCTATGCTTTTTTTCCCACCTACCTCTGACATGTGATTTGTTAAATTGATGAGTTTCTTGGAGTCTTTCTTTGAAGTAAAGTGGGATATAAATAAACAAATATTTGTAAGTTATATTCATTCATGTTTTTACAATTTAGCTAGGAACTATTGACACATCAGAATTGTGTACAATAGATAACCCTAAACTCCTGAGTAGAGGCCTTTGTTCCCTAACCTTCATCATGGTTCAACAGGATCCTTAACCACCTATAATTATAAATATATCTTAGTGTCTTTATTCTCATCATGGGTTGCACTGGAAGTGGTAGATTGGAATTAACTTGCTAGAATTCCAATTACATTTCTATGGGATTATAAATTTAAGCTTCCTGGACCACAACAAGGATGGAAAAGGGATCGCTATAACTGCTGTACTTCAAATTGAAGAAATTAAAGTTATTTAAACAAATTCTTGCTGTCATGGAATCATTGAGAAACCTAAAGCTATAGTAGGCAGATCTGTGTTACTTACTTAGACAAATTGAATAAGTGAGACAGTGTGGTGCAATGGGGCGGTGAGGCGGAAGTTATCAGTCCTACTGGGTAGGCTCAAGAAAGATTCCTGGAAGAGATAGCATCTGACTTCCTGTTTTAATTAGAAAGTATTCATCAATTGCCAGTTTTGTGGTAGGCCAAATGACAGGTGCTAAGAGAACAGTGATGAGAACAAAGCCTTTTGGAGCATTTCATTGGAAAGACTCTCACTTATTGGTGAGTCATGAGCCCCACCTGGAATGTGCGCCTTTAGTGACGAAGCCCTTGCTTTCCACCACCATCTGGAAAGAACACAGAATACACATACTCCAGTCACTGCTCCCAGTTGCCAGATGCCTTGGGAAAGGAAATAGATAAGAAACAGTTCTCTAGGAATCCCTGGAGCTCACTTAACTTTTGACAGAGGGAAAAATGACTGAACTGGGACATAACAAAGACCTAAATATTTGGCATTTGGGAAGACCAGCATATATTGAAACAACATGCTAGAAATTAAAGAAGAAAGCCATCTTTTTAAAGAAAGGAAAGCACATATAGGAGATATGGCGAGTTACTCCTGTCTGCATGGGCAGATCTCTTGATGCTTCAGTTATGGAGCTTCTGATGAGCTTTCTCCTGGTAACAGACTATTAAGTCAAAAGGGTCAACATTAGCTGAAAAAATCATTTGTCTCTGCCTATACACATAATGTTCTACTTCTCTGGATGTTTTCATATACTATTAACTGCATAAAAGCAATAGTCCTCAGTCAGTCAGCACTCCACTAAGGACAACAGCTTATGCTATTTACAAGTGACTACTTGGAAGTAAGGAGCATGCACAGAAATACTCAAGTAGAGACTCCATTAGTGTGATGCTCAAAAGAGTTAGGGAGAAAGATGCTCTCACAGGACAATGAAATAATATTAAACTGTGGTATTGCCTTTGATAACTGTTACATACATAGGATAGATAGTGACATATACAACAGATTAAAGAAATTACTGGAGTAGGAGGGCTCCAGTAAGATTTTTCAAAAATTGGGATATAAGAATAGAAAGAAGAATTTATATTGAAAGAACATCAGGCAGCAACACTCCAGACAAGATGAGCGAAGATTGTATAGGTGTGGAAAAAAGAATCTAAAAACTAACAGGCTCATATCAGGACAATCAGAAAAGTAACCACTAATGCAAGTACCAAAAAAATCATTCTCTCTGTCTCTATCTCTCTCTCTCTGAAAAAAATTTCTGAGAAATTTCAAACATTTGAGAAACTAAATTGAAGCATAATAAGAAGGCAAAGCACTCATCCTTGTAACATATGTCTACATAAATATCTACCTGTATACATTCCTTTAAAAACACAAATATTACAGAAGGAAAATGATTACAAGTAAAAATCTAGAAAAAAATCACAGCTTATTACCAAATATGTCAGTGGTGATGAGATAAAACAGTGATAATCAGAAAGATTAACATGAAATATATCATGCTATTTTGTTAAATATAAATGTGATTTGCTGCATCACATTTTAGACCAAATCAAAATTTTAGTTAAAAATAAAATCTTCCACTGTTTTCAGATTTTTCCTTTGACTATATATGCAAACATTCTCTAAAAAACTTGGCATTTCCCTGTATTCTACAGTAGATGAAAACTATACCATAATTGGCACATACCATTTTCACCTGAAATGCACCAAAGTAGAAGTTTCTGCATGAAAGATGACAGAATGAGAGTCAGATATAATACTCTAAATCAACAGCATCGTTTACAGGTTCAAAAACATAGATTCGGGGGGGGGGACTTCTTTAGCCAAATTAATGAAAAGTTATATAAAATGCTACCAAAACTAATTAATTAAAGGAGGCACCACTTACCCACCACTAGTGTGTAGTAAGACAAGAGGGAGAAATACTAATCTTTCTATTAATATTGTAGTTTTCTTTCCTCTGCTTACTTTCCATCTGTTCTTTAATTAGAGCTATTTACCATTCCCTGAAGGACAATGTGGATTGTAATAGCAAGAATGCAAAATCAAGGTACAATTCCTGATGTATTTTGGTTTCTAAACTAGACCCTGGAGAATCATAGGGAAAGGGCTCCCTGGGAACAGGACCTGGACTGGAAGACAATGGATAAAGGAGACAGAGAGGGAGTGCTCGCTTTCCTGCAGCATCCTCCTGGGATGCAGACAAGGGTTGGGAGGCAGCGTGTCAGACATCCAATAACTCCTGCTAATGTGGTGCGGAGCAAAATGAAACACTGAGAGAAATGACAGGAACGTGCTGTCTGCTGTCAGCAACATGGAGAAGAACAGCTAACTCTACCTGGTGATATTATAGGGACCTGGAAAAGTTAGCATGGGAGTTGAGTGTTGGTAACTATGATGCTTCCTAGATAGAAAAAAAGTCAGAAAAATCATTTTGAACATTTTAGTCAATAAGTATTAGATTAGATATAGGCAATTTTTAATACACTGAGCAGAACAGTGCCAAAAAAAGTTTTGTGTGCAGTACTTTTTAATTCTATTCTCTGCCATGTTTAATTCAATTCTCTACTCAATTCTCTACCACATTGAAAGGTACAAGAAATATGTGATATTGCTACAGTGAATATTGATTATTACATTCTTCATGAACTTTTACAGATAACTACAGATCACTTTCACTAATCAGGAAGGTCCCTAGTCAAGAAGGTGTTAGTGACTCTTCATTCCTGTTGTTTTCCTTCTGCCCTTGCTACTTACCCTGATTATTTGACATTGTATTAGCTGGTGGATTTTCAGGTCTGTCCTCTGACTCTGTTACTCAAAGTTAGTTAGTCAACTGGAAACACAAATGCTGTTGTGTCTTTGTATCTTAACTCTGGAAGCATTGAGATAATACTCCAATCTCTGTCATCCTACTAAAATGCACTTAGTAGTAATTAATTGGGAAATTTCAGGAGATGTAGAACAATGAAAGAATACATTTTAAAAGTGAGGAGTCACCTTAGCAATAATAAAGTCTTTTGTATTTACAGGCTGTTAATATTGAAGGTCAAAGAGGATAGAAAATTTGTCTCAATCTGGAAGTTTCTAAGTGAAAGGTCTCAATCTAAATCCAATCATCTTTCTTCAGTGCCTGTAAAGGAAATGAGAAAAGTGTTCTGCCTCACCAATTTGCATAGCCCATCACCTGTCTTCACCGTGGGAACCTAGGTAAGCCATGCCAGAGAAGAGAGACCCCTCCTATCACCTCTCCGCCATTGTAGCCCTTTCCTTTACTATTGCCA